TCAAGAACGGCTGAACCGATTTAGCTGAAAATTGGCAGGGAGGTAGTGTAAGGCCAGGAATAGGATATAGGATACTTTTTATCCCGTTCGACAGCATTCCCGCGTGACTTGACATGAAACGTCAGTGGTGAGAAACGACAAAGTAGGTTTTGAAATTATCAAATTTTTGATATAAGAAAATATTTTATTAAAATTTAACAGATAAAAATATAACTTAGTTAATGTGTTTTCTGTCTGGCGATTTCCGCCAAATACTGCCAGTAATTCCAAGATCTACGGCTGCCGACGAAATAAACGCTTGCCTCAAATCGTCAAATCTATGGCGCTATGTGAAGAAACTGCAACTGACAACAAACATGAGAGTTACATTGCTTAATGATACATCTGCTGAAGATTTCTCGGAGCAATTGCTGACTATCGGTAATGGTCAAGTACCTGTCGATGAATCGAGTGGATTAATATCATTTCCAAATAATTTCTGTAATTTTGTCTCATCAAAAGACGAACTTATCAACAATGTATTTCCAGAAATTATTTCTAACTACAAAAATAATGAATGGTTGAGTGAGCGTGCAATTTTAGCGGCTAAGAATAAAGATGTAGATGACCTAAACTACATAATTCAAAATAAGATCATTGGAACAATGTATTCATTCAAATCTATTGACTGCGTCACAAATGAAGATGAAGCCACCAACTATCCAATTGAATTTTTAAACTCTTTGGACGTGCCTGGCTTACCACCGCACAATTTACGCCTAAAGGTTGGCTCCGTAGTAATCATGCTTCGAAACATAAACCAACCAAAACTGTGCAACGGTACGCGTTTGGTGGTTAGAAAATTGATGAACAATGTAATTTACGCTACGATAATAATAGGAAAATTCAAAGGTGAGGAAGTTCTCATTCCGAGGATACCGATGATCCCAACCGATATGCCGTTTGAATTTAAAAGACTTCAATTTCCGATACGTCTCGCATTTGCCATGACCATCAACAAATCACAAGGCCAATCCTTAAAAGTTTGTGGTTTAAATCTAGAACATTCATGTTTTTCCCATGGTCAATTATACGTGGCATGTTCACGGGTCGGAAGACCATCTGCGTTGTTTGTTTTTGCGCCTGATAATAAATCAAAAAATGTCGTGTATCACAAGGTACTTAAATGAAGAGCAACCTATGTACTAAAATACACAAATAAATTATGAATGATTAATGTAGGTATTTTTTTTTTTTTTTTTGTATTTTTTCCAATTAAAAAAAAACTGCTTATTTATTGCCTTTAAGGCGGAACAGAGTTCGCCGGGTCATCTATTGCCTTTAAGGCGGAACAGAGTTCGCCGGGTCATCTACTAGTTTAAAATATAATATATTATTTATATTAGCATATTTAGCTAAGCAAAATGTCACATTAGCAAGGCTAGAAAAATCTGGGGTGAAATATTGTATACATATAATTGATGCCTATCTCAAATAATGGCATGGGCAGCTCTGAACGCTGATGGACGCTATCCAATCATTTATATTGACCCAGGGATCAAAGTCAATGTGATTTATTGTCAGAAAAATGTTTTGGAAGTTGATTTAGAGCTGTAGATACGAAAGCATTTTGGTCGTAGATCATGAACGTTTCAACACGACTTGACAACGGTATCGGACCCATAAAGTTCATGTGAACCAAGAATGGTTAAAAAATCATGCTCCAAACTTCATTTCATCAACACAAAGGTAGGAGCAAGGTAAAAAAAAAAATGTGTCAGTATGGATGCGCTGAAGAAAGCCATTGTTCAAGAATGGGCCAAAATACCGGAAGATCAAATGTGAACGCGTAAAACTTATTAAAATATTATATCTTCAAATGGAGAAATTTAATTTCGTGAAATTAATAAATTCCTTAATTTCGTGAAAATGAAATTAAGTTAATTTCGAAAGTGTTCATACTGCCCCAATTCAAGGAAATTTTATGTTTTTTGTTTACAAATCGAATGTTAAAAATTACATGCTTCAAACACCATTCGTTTCTGAGAAATTTTAAAAGTTGATTATTACTACTGTAAAGGATGACATTCAGTAGTTTTATTAGGTTTAGTGGTTTTCAGGTATGTGAATTATTATTTTTCACTCTATTTTAAATTAATAACAGTTATAGTTTTTTCTCTATATTCAAATTTGAAAATTTGCTGGTTTTATTCAAGTCAACTGGGATTGACATTAACTAAAAAAAATGTCACTTTTTCATTATCTCAACTTTATCTTTTGGTTGAAATTTATCTTACGAATAGTTGCATTGGAAATGTCCCTTAATTTCAGAGTTCGTTTCAACGAAAATAAGGCTATTTTCCTTAATTTCGTTCTAACCTTAAAACTGAATTTTGTATGGAGAAAACAACTTAATTTCGCTGAAACGAAGATGAAATTAAGATTTATCGAAATTAAGGTGTGTCTGAACATAGTATAAGTCAGTTAGTTACATGTTAACATGACTTATCGAAAAAGTGTTGTAAACCACTTAGTTAAACAAGATTACAGGAACTACGAATAAATGAAAAATTTGTCAAAGATTGTACTGAATTGGTAGTATTGAAAGTGGTAGTAAGTAGAGTACGCATATTATTCGCCTGGATTGATTTGCTTCAATTGGAGCAAAAATCAGTATTACCAGGTGTATGGAAAGAATAATAGTTTTATCTTTGGTAATGACAATATATTTGTGTTCAATTATAACTTATGAATGCAGGTTCAACATTATCGAGGGTTTTGTCAAGTTAAAAAGAAAGTTACTGATAATATATTTATTTTCAAAGCGAATTCTCTCAATTAAATAAAATGCAAAATCATAAATTATCAATTTAGGCAAATATTATAGCAGCTTCCCTTCGTTAACAAAAAAACTTAAAAAATAAAATATAAAAGAATATTCTTGGTTTTCCCAATGTTTCTGAAGAAAGTGAAAATAATGCAAATGGTAAAATTATTTAATGATGCGGAAGCGCAGAGATAAGCCGGAAATGCGCATAGTATTTTAAATATCCTGTAATTTTGGCTTGGCTTATTTAACTATGAACTGTTACTACTTTATATAAAGTTATATCTGAGTTACATACACATATATATATATATATATACGTAAAGTATGTGTGTATTCCTTAATAAAACGTTGCATACTTTTGGATAATGAAAAATTTTCTGTTTTTTTAGGGTCCTTGCAAATTACAAATCACATGGAGCAGGTGCTGCTTAGTTTTTGTTACACGAGTAACGATATAAAAATTTGTAACACAATATATTTACATTTAAACAAAATTTAAATAAATTTTATGTTTTTACATAAAACGTTTTCAATGTAAGTTACGAGTGCAGTTATTTACATTTTAATTTAGTTACGATTTAGAAAGTTTAAATTAAACAACATTCGGTAAACAAGTTCAAATTAAAAAAGCATAACAAATAAAGTTGCAATGATTACAATTCTACACGCACATGGGCTTGTGGGTGAGGGGAAAGTCAACTGGAATGTACGGTGCATGTGTTGTACTCCACACCCCTTGCATTCAGTCCACAGGATCAGAATTTCAGTTCGTTTCATTGCAAACATAATTTTGAAGGCCCATAAATTGCATAGGTTAAACACATTTTAAATCACTCACGTTTATTTCATTGTTCTAGAGGAACTGACAACGCTAGTGATTTCCTTATAACGATTACTTGAGTAATCGTTTTACTTTACTTTAAAGAATTATGTTATATTTTACTATACAGTTCTTTTTAATAAGTTTTAATTAATAATTAAATGTAGATATTACCTACTTGCTTACTGTTGTCCTTCTCTCCTAGTGGAGCATAGGGCCTCAATGTAGATATTAACTTTAATTAAAATAAGATAATTGCATAAATAACTATTGCCAATAGTAGAGTTATGTTTGAAAATGGTTACTTGTCATAACAGATACAAAAAATAACTTTTTCCTAAAAACTAAAGAACACAATATACATCATTAATTACAACGAAATTTTATAACAAAACAACGAAAATAATAATTTGAAGAAAATAAATTAAAACTCAACTGTCCCTTATACTCCTATTACATATTAGATTTGGTTGGTCAACGTCAGTTGTTATTACACATCAGACACACTCGACATTATTTTGAATATATCCCAGCTACAAAAAAAAAAACAAATATACTACTGAATGAAATCATGCATGTATTAAAATGATGTTTTCACTTCCCTAACTTAAAATAGAATGAAATTTTGCATGTTAGCCACAAAAATCCGATTGTATACGAAAAACCACTAGTAATATTGACGTAAAATTAAAATATTTCGATTTCTATCCAATTTATCGTCTGACCTGCAAATATTGCTATTACACAGCAGAATTGGCACAATATTCGCATTTCAACAGACTAGTTGTACGACCAAATCTGATGTGTAATATGCAGCTTATACCATGTTCCCATTGCTTACTCAAGTAAGTAACTTAAGTAACTTCTTTTAAGTAAACATCCGTTGTTTTTTAAAATCCATTGTCAAATGGCCGTTTAAAATAGATTTAATACATTTTCCAATATTGGAGTCAAGGTAAAAATTGAGGCTCTTTTTAACAGGTTCTCTGGGAAAAATAGATACATAAAATATTTCAGAACATACTTGTTAGATATATTATTTTGGACAACAAACAATTGATTTATCAAATCACACTATTTGACTATTTGAAGTGAAGCTATAATGAAAGTTATCATTTAATGACTTATATCCGTTTATAAGATTAATACCTATTACTGATACGTAGTGGTTAAATACATTGCACAAGTAATGGCATTTCTCTCACAAACTTGAAACTTGAAACTTAATAAATGCGAGTTGCAACACTGCTTGTACTACTAAATTCCATGCACTGCTATATCTCCAAATAGCAGTAGAACTCGCCATTTTGTATAGTTGCAGTTATTAGACAATTCGTTTTCCGTACGGGTCTCATTCATTGTAGAATCGTGTTGAGACAAACAAGCGGAAAATGAGGGGCGTTAGGCGACAAATTAATGCTACTATAAACAACAAACGGTTACAACTTATTAAATTGGTTAAGAGTAGAGAAGAAATATGGAACCGTAACGTAAACGATTTTTTTATTTACGCAAATAAAATAAAAATTTGGCAAAGTATAGCAAATGAATTAGGCGAAACGGGTAAGTTATCAGTGCCATTTTGACTATATAACTATTTTTGAAATAATTTTATCTATGTATTTATATATATTAAAGGATATTATATGATATTTACTATAATGTACTATATATATTACATACATTATAATGGTGCAATAATAGTGAAGTATGTAATGTATGTAATATTATATAATATATTATACATTATATATTTGCAATATTTAAAATATATATTTTAAAGTCATTTATGTGAATATTATATGTGTATTTATATTATTACTAATGTGCAATCATATATTTAATATAAAAAAATAAGGCTTTTAAAATACTGAGCACTACATATTTTTCATATCACTACATACGCAGACATTTTTCTTCACATACATGTACATTATATTTTTCCTGTTTGATATTACGGTATATTGCTTTGTACGCCATCTAACGGAATAACTTAAATTTTAATAAACGAAAGCAAGAGTTGGTGTCATATAAAGAAGAGAATAATTAAGAAAAGTTAAAGCAAAACCAGAAAAGAATGCTCATGACTACCAAATTAAAATATGTACTTATATATCGAGAAGTAATATTGACTTAAAATTAAAGAAATTGAAAATATTAATAAAAAATATTTAAACTAATAACAATTATAAGCACTATAATATAATATTTATAAAAATAATAATAAAAAAATTTTGTGGCATAAAAAGTTGTGATGTGGTTTATACAATAAGTTTATACAAAAAAGTTTGTTTAGTTCATGATAAGGTCAGCAGTACCCAATGTTATAAAGAATTTAATATAAAATATGTAATCATTATAATATAATATTTAGGATCCCGTATATTAAAGAGACTGATAAATCGCACATGTTCTGGTATTTTATCTATTAAGAAAGTACCATAATTCATAACTTATAGACAGGAGGCTACCTATGAGCCACCTAGTATCAAGTATTAGTATCACCTAGTATTATTAGAAGAGCTCATACTAGAGAATCTTAGCCAAAGTATGGTGTTGAAGTCTATTATTGTCAAAATCCTTCCTGTTTGAAAAGGAATGATCCATTTATGGTAGTTCCTTATACTGATCATTGATTTTACTGTCCCAATAGCTGTTAGCATGAACTAATGCGTTACATTAGTGAAAAAAGATTCCTTCTTTTTGGAAAGGTGTTTTTTTCCTTAATTTCATCATCTCAGTGATCTAAAATAATATTTTTTTTGATATTATCTTGCCTTTTTAATGTAGTCATTCATAATTATTTCTTTTGTACCCCAAAAAACAAAAACCACTTTCTGTTTATGGAATTGGGATGGTGCTGTGCTTTTGCTATCGAAGTATATCGAAGTAATTTTTGGATTAATCTGATATATTTGGAAACATTCTTTAAAAGTGATTACAAGAGACGTTCCTTCTTAGCTGGTAGCCAACCCTCTAAATTTGATTTCAAAGAAATATTCTTATTTGAACAAAATCATTATATAAAAAACTGAGATACAGAATAAGAAAGCTATTGGATAATTACTTGTAAAAAATGTACAGAAAAATTGCATTAAATATCTTATCTTTAATCATCTCACATAACAGTCAGATGTAAAATTGACTTTAAAATTGTATTCTTCTTCTTCTTCTTCTTCATTCCATTGCACTCCCAGGGGAACATTAGGCCATAAAGTTGTTGTGGTTACAGTTGTACCTAAGGAGGAGATTCTGTTTAAATTTGAGTTTCGCACCTCCAAATCCGTTGTGCGTCCTGCCGAATCCGTTGTAGATTTGCCGTATATGTACGGGTACCACTTGGAGACTGTAATTTCATCGGGTTTACACTCATATTTGGTTTCCAGAAAATAGTTAAAGAAAGGAGCAAAGCCCTGACGATAGGATACAAGCGTAATGTCGGTGAATTGCAACGTTACTTCTCATTCGCTTCGCTTCATTACTTCTCATTCGACCTTACTAGCAAGGGAGGCCCAACCAGTAGCATGCTACCGCCGGCATCGCTCGAAGATTCTACGTAACTACTGGGCCTCCTCACCGTCTCAAGGTGACAGTCCCCGAGGAGGATTTAATTGTACAATAAATATTTATTGTTTTTTAAATATGTTGTAAAAAAGACCTACAGTTAAATATTGCTTTAGTGCATTCCATTGAAAATATCTTAAATATCATGAAAATATCATATAAAATTATTAAAATAAGTTTTAAAGAATTCATAGAATGATAATGCAAAAAGTTGCTTCTTATTTTTTTTATTGAATAATTTTAGTTTGTGTGTTTATTTGTTTTACAATTAATAGTTATTTATTATCTTCAAAACAACTTAATTTATATTAAAGTTATATTATTTTTTATTTTATTTTCATAACTTTTTTGTTTTATTTTTTTTTTACATTAGTTGCAGAAGTTCAGCGTGCGTATGACACCCTGCGGGATCAATATCGTCGCGAACTAAAAAAGTTAATTAATGGTAAGCAAATTACATGGAAATTTTTTTATGAATTGGATTTCTTGAGGAAGATGGTACGGGTTCATCAAGACAATCCTCCTTCAGAAAACAATCCACCCAATAAAACATCAGAATTATCCCAAGGGCTTTCATGTTTATTGTCTGCAGTTAATGCAGTAGAGAATAATACTTTTAAATTATCTGATGCATTGGAATTGCAAAAAGAATCAGGATTAGTTGATGTAGTTTCTAAAGAAACCGATACACTTCTCCCAGAATTATCACCAACACCACCAATGGAAGAAGAATCAGCAAGTAAATCTAATAATATTGGTATTGATAAAACAATCTTGGAAGACGTTAAACGTAATGATTATGAAAATTCTGCTGATATTGTTATGAAATTAAGTACTATCAATGTTGCGCCTACTGCTAATTGCAAATCACCGGACTTACCTGAAAACAAAGAAAACGATTCGAGTTCTAGTGCTATTGATAACAACAATCCAACGTCTTCAGCTTGTGTTCTAATGGAACATCAACAAAATAAGTGGAAGATGCTAAATAATCATTACTTAATTAAAAAACTGAAAGTAAAAAGTGACTATAACAATTCCAATTGTGTACGTAATAAAATTAATATTGTGCACTCCGGTGGCGTAGTAAAGAAATTGATTAATAATTGTGCCCTCAAAACATCGCAGCCTTGCAGACCTTCATTATTGAAGCCGTCACTAACACCAATACGAGGAGGTACAGATCAGAAAAATGCTTCCAGAAACAATACAACATTAACAGATAAATTCAAAGTAGAATGTATTGATGGAGATTTAAACTTCATGATGAGTATTGTACCTTTATTGAAGGCTCTGCCTTTTTATGTTAAGTTGGAATTGCAGACAAAAATAATATCAAAAATCATTACTTTGTTACGAGAAGACGAGGTTCAATCAGAAGCGTATGCTGCTTCTGAAATGGTTGTCTCCAATTCTGAACATAATTTTGTAGAAAGTTTAATGCCTGTTATGAAAATAATGAAATTATCCTCAAAAATTTTTTTACGATCCTATATATACCAAACTATGCACCAAGTATCTTCTAGTTATCAATCATAATTTAATGTACTATAACATAATTAAAGCAATGAGACATAAATCTCATTTTCATCAAGCAATAACATACTCAAATTTTTATATATATATTTTAAAATTGCAAACATTTGTATATAAATTTATATATCAAAAAATCAAAATGTCATATTAGATTAAAACAATAAAACAGTAAAGAATTGATTGTAAGTGATTAACTCTAATTTCCGAATACATTTCGAATACTCTTAAAGCAAGAGATGTATTTAGCTCGCACTTGGTATTTCGCTATCAAACAATTCGCTATTTTTGTTTCACAAAAACAAATAATACGTGAACATGTTCAGAATACCGAGTTATTAAGTTAGGTCTGAACCACACCAATAATCGTTTTAAATAAAAATTGGAATGTTAGAAAAGGTTGAAGAAATTATTATTATATTTTAGAGTTACTTTCGATTATGTTTATTTGTTGAAAGCTTTCTATCTTCAAAAATGATCGTTAATAAAAATTATTAGTTTTCGAATATATTTCGAATATTTTTGAAGCAATATATAGTTTCAGATCGTACTTGATAGATCGTTATCGTTACAGTTCTATGTATAATTTATTTTTTTAAGATAGTTTTATGAAAACAAACAATACATGAACATTTTTCGAATCCATAATTATTGAGTTTGGCCTGAACCACACTTCGAAACTTGTGGTATGAAACTTCGAATACTTAAATCGTTAAAGAAGATATTATTTTATATTAGAGTTACTTTTGATTCCATTTATTTGTTGTAAGCATTTGATATACGTTCTAATTTATATACATATACCATCAAAAAATGTATCTATTAACAATTATAATAATTAGCAACGATAGCTGAATTGAAGGCTTCGTATGGCTATGATAATTGATAAATTGAAATATACATTCTATGGGAATGTATGAAAGTTATAAACAAAAGTACGCTATAAAAAATTCGGTGTTGAAAATTGGACATATTAGACGCGGAGTGGAAGAGCAATATTATTATATTAATTGATGTTCAAAAATTGATGTATTTAAATTCCAAAGAGGATTTTAAAAGATTTGACTCTAGTTTTTCTAGATTGGTACTACAAAGCTATAGTAATAAAGATCAGTCAAAAATTAAAAAAAGATGCTGTAAAATAGGATCCCTAAATTTACTTTGTATATATCGCACAAAACTGCATTTCGGAACTAGACAAACTAGACCTCAACACGATTTAGTCTTTTTGAATAAATATTATTAAAAATCTGCCAATTATTTATATATATTATTATCTAAACAGAGAAGACCAAAGTTATTTGATGAAAATAAGAAATTTCTTATATACGGGTACTTCCATGGAATGTTTTGGTACTTTTAGGTTGGCGAGTATTTGGTTATTCTTTCTTAGTTTTCACACAACACTAACCTCAATTCATGGATACACATACAAACAAATGCAAATACAACTGATATGGCATACCTAAATACACTGCAATTTTCTCTTAGTAATGTTTATGTGGGGAGTGGGCATATATGTCACATCATTCGGCGTTGGAATTTCGTTGTAATTGTTCCTGTTTAAAATTATAATGAAAATTGTTCTGATGAATTTGTTGATTGTTGTTGCATTTGAATCCACGTATATAGACTTGTTGACTTAATGTATTAGTATGTATTGTTTATAGTTGTTGATTTTTTATTTGTATTACTCGCACACAAAGTTTGCCTTTGGTTTAGTGACTGATTTACGATTTTAATTTCTGAAGTGAAAAGTATTATTGTTTTCATTTTGGAAATGTAGGACTACAAACACAAATACATTAAATTAGAAAAAAACATCTCTGGAAAAAAAATGACAAAAAAAATTCATCTAACAAAGCTTAATATATTCTACCGACATTATTAAAAGACAGTGATTAATATTCATACATCATTTGGATCAACAAACTTACTTACTTAAATAGTTGGCTATTATAAACGTAAGTCGTACTTGGTCGCGTCTAGTAACGTCCGCCAGCTATCCCCATCAGTGGCTTGCACCAGGACTAGAATTTATGCGTCAGGCTAGGAATTCACCATGTAAAACTCCAATGAAAACGAAGAGGCAGCCGGGTTTTAAAAAATTTGGTGTACCTCCCCTCTGTGATATTTCGCTAATTGTTGTTCTCATATCGGTTTACTTTTAGAATCAATTTTTATTGGGTTGTTCAATACTTTTTATCTCACTGAAATCGAAATTGGGGTTTACTTCAATAGCATCATTAAAAAGATTGCAGCACTGAATGCAATTTAATTACATTCAATATGCTTCGAAGTCTAAACAATAACAATCCTATCTATAGGTTGATTCTTGGCATAGAGATTTGTGATAAGACAGCTGATATAAATATGTAAATTCGTTTCCAATTATATATATAGGAATAGTGTCACCATTGCTTGGAACTATAAGACTTCCTGTGGTACAGTCATAGAGTTAAAAATAATTAAGTAATGGCCTCAACATATGTTATTAGCCTTAACAACACTTTATTACCAGTGCGTGGGTCACGACATTTGAGCAGAGGAATTGAGTTCTGCGCCAATGAGTCTGTGCTTATGATAACTTTATCAAAGAATTGAAATGGCACTGATAGAAATTTGTGATGTTTTATTGAGAGCTTGGTTATATTTTTTAAATGATGAGTGTAAAGTTACCTTTGACCTTAAAGACGCCGACTGAGCCTTTGTTGCGAAATAATTTAGTTCACATTTAATACAAATAAAAATTTAAAAATATTATATCTTGCGCTACTGCTATGCATACTGCTATGCTAAAGATTGTGTTTCGTCCTCATAACTTCATGTAGATGTCTATCCTCAGCCTATCCTTCCAAGATTGCTGACAAATTAACTGAAATATTTATTTAAACCTGCGTTACCATTTTAACACGATAACTTTGACAATAACTAAGACGACAAAATGTTGTACCTATCTGGAAGAAGTATATGGGACTGCTCATTATATTTTCTATAGCTATTCGGTTTTGGACTGAGTTAGTACGCTTATTGTATTGTTGTTACAGTAAGTTACGCTCAGTATGTAAAGTTGTGAGAATATAACAGATATGAATTGGTTTAAGAAAAAAGACTATTTGTCAATTTAAAAACGAAAAGTTATGATTTTACTGAAACAGGACGAGGGGTCCACTAATTAGAAAAATTTAGATCTCAATATTTCTATTTATGAACTGTAGTTTTTGGTAGTTTAGTTTGATTTTTTTTTGTATTCCAACAAAAAGACAATATTTGACTAGACAATATAACAAACTGTTCAAAAATGTTATAAGTACTATAAAATAGTATTTTCGTATATATGCTATTTATATAGCAATCGTATATATACCTAAGCGTCATTGTTTTCCAGTTTGTAGCTTTAAGTAATTAGAACTTATTAAAGAAAAATTTTTAATAAAGAACTAGTTTGTATTAAAATATCTATTCAGTCTAGATAAGAAAAACCAACGGACAGCAATAAATTGATTAATTTGATAAATTTATAAGTTATAATTATATTAATTTACATCTACATCAAATTTGCTTTAACTTTTCTTTACTTATTTTTACTTTTATAAAGAATAAGGTGAAGAACACAAAAAAGGAACAGATGTCGCAATTCAGTATAGAAATTTTGTTTGGCCGATATGTTATTGTCTATAAAATTATAAGACCATGTCTTATTAAAGTTCGTTCCCTTTCATTCTGAAAATATGAAAAGTTTTTATTTGAAATGATGGGTATAAAGTTACCTATGACCTTAATAATATGGTAATAATGGTAATATCTAATTACGCGAAACTGAATATATTCCGAATAGAAAAGTCTGAATAGCTTAAATTCATGTGATTCTTAAATTTATGCTATTCTAAAAAAAGGAATAAATATATTTGTTTAAGTTAATAAGTTTTTAATATTTACACGTATATTATTGTATTTATAATTTAATTCGACATTTTGATATTAATTGCCACAGACATGATAGTTTTTTGACGATAATTAAATTGTCGCAAATATTTCTGTTATTCCTTAGAACAGGGCTGTCTAGACCAGATGCGATCGCGGGATAATACAAATTACTGTGCAGATTGGAAGGCCGCAGAAAAAAAACCTACGTTCATAGGTGCTATTATAAATTCATAATAACTTTATAAATTCGGTTATAATGTTAAATCTTGTTTTATTATTTTAATTTAATTTCATTTATTTTGTATACGATAAAAATAAAATTTTAAAGTTTTACCAGTACACGAAAAGAAACTGCAGTAGATTAAAAATATGTCACGGGTCGCACAAACATAAGACGCGAGCCGTACTTTGAACAGCCCTTTGAACAGTACTTTGAACCTAGAATATCTTATATTTAAGGGTCCATATGTAATTTACACATATTTAGCTAATATTTTGTTTTTATATTTCTTTTTCTATATTTTTGCTACTATAGGTTTCCTATCAGTTTAATAGAAATTGAAATGTTTCATTTTCTGGTCTATGGTATAAACAATTTTTTGTGGTACATGATATAAAATATATTAACATGTATTATAAATCCTTGTACTAGTGCTATTTAATATTTTAAATAAATGTTTATTGGATTTTTTTATTAAATCCTGATATCAGTTTCTGGATATATTAGTATATATTAGTATTTTATTAGTTTTATAGATATATTAGTATTTTATTGCAATCTTTTAAAAATTTATTACGAGTATTTCTCATTTAGTATATATGAGCATGCTTTTATGGCTTTGTGCTCACTTGTATCATTCTATTTATTGCTCAATATTAGTTATTGGTTTTCTTAAATTAAAATTGATTTAATTCGTTAGATGGCGCTTATATTGACTTAGAATACATAAATGTAGTGGTATGGAAAACATGTACTGCTCAGTATTATAAAAGACTTATTTCTGATTAATAATATGATTAAACATTATATTTATGTTAATAATTATGTATGTATTTCATTAAACATCTGACCCATAATATTATATTATGCTATACATGCATATGCAATATATGTATTACGAGTATTTATT